TTCATGGGCGGCGGTCATCGTTTGTGGGTGGTGAGTGTCTTCATGATGCACATGGGTGGTTTTGTGGTCTAGAAGAAAAAAAACAACCAAATTTTGTAATTTGATTGCTACAAAAAATGCAGCCTCTTTTCAATTACACATTGGCAGATAGGAAATGAGTAAGGTAGATGGGTGAGTTAGTTATTTCTTTGTCCAACATCTGGAAGAGTGCCAGACAATGTTCTCTTGTTCCAGAGAGGGGGCTTCCCTTTCAGTTTGTCGAAAGAGGCTTTGGGGAAGAAAAACATGTTTCCGACCTGTCTGGGAGTGACATCATCCTCTTGGGTATGGCTGCCAGGCTCCCATTCTCTGACACGATGATACAGTTGGCCAGACAGGAAGATGACCAAGGTCCCTGGGTCATATCTATCCACAATTCAGGCAGTGATAGAGAACTATGCAGCAGCCACTTACTCAAGTTTAACATTGAGGTCTGGCAAGTAGAGCTCTCCTCCTCTATATTGGCTGCAATTGAAAATTGCGGTCGGACTGTCATCCAATACTTATCACTCCCCCACCTATTCCTACTGGACTTCAACAAAATTTCCAAAAATGCATTTTCACATTCCTTTCCTACTGGACTCCTGCTGGACTCCCACTGGACTTAAACAAAGTAGATGAAATGCTCCAGACATTGGATTCCTACTGGATTCCCACTGGAATATCAACTTCAATGTATTACCAAGTCAGAGGAGTGATGGAGGGAGTGGTGGAGGGAGAGAGCTATGGAAGGAGGGGGAGTGAGTGAAGTGAAATGATGGAGGGGGGAGGGGGTGAGAGAGGTGGAGAGAGGAAGGGAGGGAGGGAGGGAGGAAGAGAGGGAGGGAGGGAGGAGGGATGCACTAAGTTGTCATTTCGTGGGTGCCATGTCATTGCACACATAGGCGGGCTGCTTTTCGTGGGCTGCGGTTGTCGTTTGTGTGAGCTGGGTGTTTTTCATGGGTGGTGGTCGTTGTTTGCATGGGCGGTGGCTATTGTTTGTGGGTGCTGGGTGTTTTTCATGGGCAGCAGGCATCGTTTGTGGGCACTGGGCATTTTTTGTGGGCAGTAGTTGTCATTTGTGGTGGTGGGTGTTACGGTCGTCATTGGCAGGTGGGAGGGGGTTGTCGCTGTCCCTCGTCTTTCTTGTTTGTCATGTCGGTGGGCGCTCATGGTTTGTGAGTGGTTGTTGTGTCCATGGGTGGGGTCATCATTGCGTGCCGTGGTTGTTTGTTGTTGTTGTCTGTCGTGGCTGTTGTTGTTGTCATGGTCATGTGTTGTCATCGTCCGTTGTGGTCGCTATTGATGAGGCAATGGCGGTGACAAGGCAACGTGTATGTGGTGGTTGAGCAAGAGGGTGGTGATGGTGGTGTTGTCGAGTATTGTTGGGTTTGGGCAAAATTCCCACTTGCGGAATTCGCCGACGTCCTTTCTAGGAAGGAGGTCAGTATGTTGGTATATAGAGCATATAATACATACCCGTAATAACGCCATCATAGTGCAACTGGTAAAGTGCTTGATATGAAGTATTTGCCACTCTGTCTGTAAGGTTGAGAGTTCAATCCTGTCATGTTGTGCTTTTTTTAATATTATATAATAACAACAACAGTGACAAACTGTTGGTCCCACTGGGCTCCCTGTCCCTGGAAATTCCTAGTAAACTCCTACTGGACTCCACTATACCCATTCCTTAAAAATCCAGCAGAATTCCACAATTCCTGGTGATTTGGGATCATTCCAGTAGGAGTTTACTAGGACTCCACTAGGACTAGGGTACAAAATTTGTATGGTGATCAGCCAGCATGAAATTTGTCCCAGTCCTAGTCCAGTCCAATAGGAGTCCGGTAGGAATAGGTGGGGGAGAGTAAAGAGCTCCAGTCATCTAAGCTGTCCACATGGGTCTCAACTGGAAACTTCCAAACAATGGCCCTCCCCAGCCAAGGCCCAGGGTCCTCCATCATCCAGGCACCAGCTTCAAAGGCAGCCTTGTACTGGGAATAGTAATTGGGAAAGGCGACCTTGAAGCATTCGCTGAGGTACAAGGCAACAGATCTACTGCCCTCGAAATATCACAAAACAGCCATTTGCCCTTTGCATGACCCCCTCCCAGCCATGTCCCACAAGTGGGTCATGGGATCATTCTAATTGAAACAGGGTTAGCACCCCAATGGCCAGGAAATTTAGGATACAAACAGGATGGCCTTGTTGATGCCATGCGTGGACAAGATGTGTCACCCCCATTCTTTCATCCCCCATCTCCTCAGCTGACCCCACGCCATCCCTAATATATTCCACATCTTCAGGGCAATCAGGGGGGGCTCGAGACTGTAAGCCATAACATTTTGGTTGGGATGCTGGATATCCCCTTTTGTTGGGGTGAGGGGCCAAAAACCTGGTGAAGTTCTTGTGCGCATTGGTGATATCTCCAAAGCATGTTGCTCTGTGATTAGGCAGTGAGGGGCCAAAGATACTGTCAATGCCGCTTACTTACAGGAATTCCATCCCAGTGCTGGTCTTCAGACTTAGACGCTTGAACATCCTTCAGTGTCCATTTATGGGGTCCAGGGTAGGCGGTCTGTATTCATGTTAAGTGGCATCATCCAAAAAATTACTTGACTTACCCTTTCCCCCCTGCCTTTTCTTTCCACTGTAGCCTGGTCATTCATCTGTGTTCTGTGGGAAAAGACACATGCCAAGGTCTTCCCAGTTTTGTCCATGAATTTTGCAGAGCAGGCATCTGCTTCGAGGTCCTGCATCCCAGAGATGATAGTGTTGGCCTTGTCGACATCTTTGTCACAATTTTTGGTTCGTTCCATAAGGTCAGTGAGTGTGATGCGGGAGAGAGTATAGGTGGGAGCATATTTCAACCACAGATTGGCAGACCTTTCAGCAGATGCTATGGCAACCTTCTCCTGTGACTCAGAAGAGCAATTTTCAGCCCTTTGTCGCCCCACAGTGGGGTTCAATTCATCAATGTTGGGCAAGGGCACAGGAGCCTGTCTCTGCTAGAGTTGTGAATGCCCAAGAATCAAGGAAGAAACAAGCCACTGACCAGGTTCAGCCTATTAGCAGAACACTGTTCTTCACCTTTAGAAGCAGTTGGGAGTGAAGATAAGACAGCCTCATGCCTTTTTAACGACACTTTTGAAATTCCTTTACCTCATATCTCCACAACAGGAGCACTTCAGAACATAATTCAAACAGATTTGGGAAGCTACAGTGTAGGGCTACAACTTTCGTTTTTGACCATTTTTGGTAATTTGTCATGTGACCATCATCCCAACAACCCGAGGGTCATACCACTCTGGAATGGGGTACCACTAAGGTTCCCTAATTCAAAGAATTGGATAACCTCATAGGTACCCAAAAATGGGTGGTTGAAGTGTATCCAGAGCCAAACTGTATTCAGTGGTGTGACAGGCAAGTTTAAAGAAGTATCTACAGCATTGGTCCTTCTTTTCTGGAAGAAGAAAAAATGCCACCATCCTTTTGAGTCAATCCATGGAGACTTGGGATGTCTTTTAAATGATGCCTGAAGTATGGCATGATACTAAATAGATTGTCACTGGGTATAACTTGAAGAGTCCCTAATAAAAGTACATTTTGCATACAGCAATCATCCTAGACCAATCCTTGACATTTTTCTTGGTGAATTGGGGCTGAAAATATTTCACAAGGCACTTCTCATGCCTACTAACAAATCCTAAAGAAATAAACAGAGGTCCTATTGGACAAGGATGTGAAACCCCCACACCTTTCTTGCTCTATTTTTTATTGGGGACTTTTCAAGTTATACCCAGTGACAATCTATTTGCTATCATGCTATACTTCAGGCATCATTTAAAAGTGCCAACTGTCCATTACATCCGAGTCTGAGGCCATGTTCACCAAGGTTCAAACCAAGTTCAATTGTTGCTGGGCACAGCAGTCAGGTTGGCACATGATAACACCAGATAGATCATCATGCTCTAAAAATTGGGTCTGACACTTGGCTAAGAGAGTCCCCCAGGCCCATTACATTCACAAATACACCTGCATAGAAAGGGTTTTTGCCCAGAAAGAGATTGCAGGCAGTGAAGACATGGATGAGAGTGCTGTTGGGATGGATGAGGATAGTGGTAGTGGTGAGGTGGTGATGGAAAGTTCTGTAAAGGTGGAGAGTTGGAGTTATTCTGAAGCAAAGGTGACCTTGGTGGAGTGGCTTCAACATGGGGGAGGTAGCAGTCTGTATTTTGGGGCAAAGAGACTGTTAGTTCCTCCATGGGTAAATGGGGAGATGATGGTTGTACTGGAGACAACTGAATAGGGGTGAATAGTGAATCTCTCTGAAATGGCGTCCAGCCAGATGAACCATCGTTCTCCAAAGGCAATTGTGGAGGGGTTCAAATGCAAAGGTAATTGTGGTAAGGGCTGGTGCTGAGGAGTAGGAGTGTGTAAGATGGGCTTGGTGCATACTGATATCTTTGCACCACTGGCATGTGCGTTCTGGATGTGAATCATCAGAGTTCTGATGTCAGGAAGGGCTGTTGTGCAAGCATAGCAGGGCATATTTGATGTTTCAGAAGGTGTGTGACAGACAGCAAGGAGAGCAGCAGAGTCTCTAAGAGAGAAGGAGGCTGCCAGGCAGTGAACATTGCTTTCATGGGTAGACTGTTGACGAAGGCGTGAGTGTGAGATGGCAGTGGAGAAAATCCGGGGTATGTGGGAGAGGGTTCATAACATGGAGCCGCGAGCCAGTACCATGTTGAGGTTATCCTGTGACCCAGGAAATGGGGTGTGGTCACATGGCGGAGGACTCTGGTATCCTGGAGGGGAGGTGTATGGCTGCCTAGCCATATAGATAACCCCCTATAGGGGGACAATAAAGACCTCTACAAAAATGAATAATGCACTACAAAAGTCAGAAATAGACTACAAAGTTTACTAATGGGCTACTTTTTTTGCTTGGAATGGCAGTCAAAGCCCACAAGGAACCAAAGCTTGGATGCCCACATGCTTCTCGATAAGTGAACCATCCGATGGTTTTCATCCAAGGTGCCTGAGTTTGAGCCAGAATGGCTGCTTCCTGATAATGGGCTGGAGGATCAGTGGTGGTGGCAGGTTCGGTGGGTTCAGTCATTTGGGATATGCCTGGAGGGGACCAGTTGGGAGGTAGGCGAAAGATGTGGTAGACCTTCAGGTGCAGCATCAACTAGTGTTCGCAGGTCCAGTCTACAGGACTGAAAATATACATAGGACTGAACCAGACTGCACTTTTTCCAAGCTCATAGCTTGCAATCTCGGATGTTGCCGTAGATTTTGCTGGGCCACGTATATCAGATAAACGATTCATGAACTACAATGAGTACCAACATACACATGAAAGTTGAAGGTGGATTTGACATACCATACAGCTTAATAGCCTCGTGAATGCAATATCATCCTGAATCCGCTTCTTCAGGTCCTTTAACTTGGGGTGCGCCTTGATGTTACTCCTTATGGCCTGAAGAAGAACATCAACCCGAAAGGCAAGCTTACTCTTTGCCTTTTGCTTGGGCCAAGCATTGTTGAGTGGTTACATTCTTGATCGTGTGATGAAGGACCTTCTGGATTGTGTAGTGTTGATCGAGAAGGTTAGGAGTCTTCCCCAATGCAGGAAGCGCTGCTTTGGCATGGGGCGGCCACCTCTTATTCACTGATAAATGATGCCGGGGTCAGCGTCAGAGTCCGAGTCATCCTCACCATCATCTACGTCAACGATGCCAGGTTGCTATATGAGTAGTCTCATCAGTGGTATAGTAGCATAGCATTGATAAGAATATGAACTTCTGATGAAAGAGCTGTGTTTCATCATCCCTGTACAGTCCAATGGCTCATGGTCTTGGGGAGTAAATGAGTCTGAAATGCACCTGTCTTTTGTCAGATGCACTCTTCTTCTTTGGCAACAGCTCTGGCTCCTTGTCATCGTCCTTCTCGACATTGTTGTCCAAGAAAGACCTTAAGTCTTCAGAGTCAGTGGTTGGTGGTCGGCTTGCCACAGACAATGACAAGCGAGTTCCTTGAGGACTTGAATGATGCCATTTCCACATCATGATCTGGAACATCAAAGAGGTCATCATTGTCTTCCCCAAGAACAGGGCACTAGGTTTTTTAGTGAGCTCACTAAACAGCTTAGCAGTCACAACAAACCTTGCTATTCAGATGACTCATCAAGGACTTCTCTTGGCCCATCAGCAGGCACCATCAACTATGGCCTGTTTGTATTGTCAGGGGCTCTCAGTGTAGCTGGGTGATTCCTACTAACTCAAACATTGTCAAGAACGATCAACACCATGTGTATGCTTTTTCCTCCTTTTTCTACTGATGTTATGGCTGCATTGTATTCATTACTATATGTGGAAACATGCACAGACCACTGCAACATTTTCAATAACAGTCGACAACATATCTATTCTTTATTAATGCTTTTTTTTCTGATTTTCTATATTTGCGCTAATTACCATATTTAGAAATGTGCACAGACCATCTAAACAGTACCCTAACATTGACAACAACAGTTGGTACCATGTTTATACTTTTTTTATTCTCTTTATCTCATTTTCTGGCTACATTGTATTAGTTACTATAAACAATAGTCTATATCATGTCTATTCTTTTGTTCCCCTTTTTTTCTGATTTTCTGGCTATATTTACATTAATTGCCATATTAGGAAATCTACACAGACCATGTAAACAGTACCCCAACAGTGTCAACAACAGTCCATCTTATAGTTATTGATTTTTTCTGATTTTATGGCTGTATTTGCATCAATTGCCATATTTAGAAATGTGCACAGACCATGTCATCAACAATACCCCAACATTGTCAACAATAGTCTACATTGTGCCTATTATTTTCTCCCTTTTTTGTCCGATTTTCTGGATACATTTGCATTATTTACTATATTAGGAAATGCGCACAGACCATGAGCAGTACCCCAACATTACCATATTGAGAAATGTGCACAGACCATGTAAATAGTACCCCAACATCATGACCAACAGTGAGCATCATCCCTATTTTTTTTCCAGATTTTATTACCATTTTTCATGTAAAAATGCAAAACCTGCCATATTTGGCAATTTTTAGTGTCCATTCCAGTCACTTCATTCCAGGGCCATTCCATTCCTGTGCATTCTGGGGACTGTTCCAATGTAAATACCGGAATTATGAAATTCTGAAAATTTGGCTGGTAAATTCCACTAGAATGGCACTGGAATCCACCGGAATCCAGCAGGAATCAGTGGGGCATGACTAAGACCTTGAACACTCCAAGATAACATGAGAAGAAGGCAGAGAAGAAGAAGGACACCTCTTAGTACTGGAAAACAGATTCCTTCTTGGATATGTTCCACCAGTCTCCCAGCCTGGTAGAGGTAGTGAGTGGCAAGTCAATCAAGATGATTGAGTTTATTAGTTCAGAGTCACAAAACTGACACCATTCAGGCTCACCACTATGGCATGGTAGAGGTAGTGGCGAGTCAACAGTAGAGATGATCAAGTCCATTAGTTCAGAAGTACATACCTGATACCATTCATGCAGCTCACCACCGTGATATGATTGTCACTGCCCTCAAGCAGGATGTAGATGTACTTGCCAAGAATCCAAGTCACAGCTGATGTCAGAGACTCTTGTGAGATATCTGATCTAAGACTCAGCCTCGAGTTAGAGCTTTGTCACAGCTGTACATGCTTGCAACTCTGAGTCAGGTGTGTGTGCAACAAGTCAAAGTGGATAGGACTTCTTCTCAAACAAAGTTTCAGCCTGAATGGCACAAGAATAAAAAATAAAGACAACACCTAGGACCCACAACTTGAACTGAATTTAAAGTCAGTTTGCAACTAAGATTCTGCACTGTCTTGAGAAACAATTGGTGTTGAAAAGGCTGGTAGTAGATCTGGTTTCATCAGCCTTTAGAAACCTGCTCAGTGAGAACTTTGGCTGCACCTGGTTCATCATTGTCAAAAGTCCACCCTCTTCATCCTCACCCAGATCTAGACAGAAAAGATTGAGAAAAGTACCAACAAGGTTCATATGTGGTCTGACACATGCAAATCCTGAAGAAATTCAACAACTGCAGTACAAACAATCCTGTTGACCTTTTTGGAGATAGCATGGTAGAGAAAGTCCAGACAATGAGTAGAAGCTTTCTGTAGTCTTGTGGAGGTAAACCTGGTGTTTTGTATATATCTGAGCATGGAATGAAGATCATCAAAGATTGGTAATAACTAAAAATGGATCTTACACTGTTCCTAAGGATATTTTGGCAGAAATAGCCTTTTACCATCTTCCCAAATTGATTTGAAGGTGGCATGCATCTCTGTGGATAGGGCATGTGATGTATCAGCATGTGTGCTAGGGGCATAGTTTGGTGGGATTTTGGTGAGAACCAGGTTTTGGATAAAAATGTCCAGATTGTCCAATTGTTTTGCCATACCAGGGGTAGTCAGGAGGACCTTGATCTGACAAGACTGATGAGGTAAGATTGTATACAGACAATGAATTATGACATACACTAGCTTGACCACCCTTGCCTCCTGCAGCCAGCAGCCTTCCTAGATTCCAGGGTTGTTGTATTTTGAGTCAAAGGCAGGTATTGGAAGGCAGCCTCTCTCAGCTCATTCTCCTCTTTACCTGCATATACACTGTCCCAGTAATATACTTTTTATAGACTTGATTTGTTGGAGGTCACAACCATGGTCTTGAAACCATTTGAGTTTGCAATCAGGACACATCACTGGTGAATATATAAGAAATAAATGTAGAGATTAAGCTAGATTCTTGCCAATGGTGACTTTGTAAATATCACAGGCTCCAGAAAAGGCAGAATACTTATTAACAAGAAGAACTGCAGCATGATAAGCAACCTGAACAACATTGGCAGGGTTGTTCACCTGCTCATCTCTTGCAGCAATCAGCCCTTCACATAAGGTTTCTAGAGTCAGAAGAACATCCACAACAAGAGGTGTTTCTGCACTTCAGTCACCCACTGACAACTGACTATTAGTCTTGCAAACTCCATGAATACTACAGGACTAAATGTCAGGGTGTATATCTATATTATATATATTCTGGGGCTTGTATATCACCACTTTTACCTAAATATATTTTGTTGTCCAATGTCACACTAAATATATTTCTAGTGTGTCACACACCCCAAAATATATTTCCTCACTGGAATGGACTCCAAATATATTTCTTATGCCTGGACCCTGAATTGTGACTGTCACAATGTAGAAATATATTTCTTGTCTGGGATGGACTTGGGATATATTTTGCAGCTAGGGTTGACTAAGGATATATTTTTTCAGCCACAAGGGGTGTCTGGGGTCCTATATTTAAGAGAAAAACTTGGGATGTTTTTTAATATAGGGGATAGGGGATTTACCTATTATTTTGTAGGCAGAATACCCTCATTGGGATGTTTGTTGACAGATATTTACCAATAGCTTTGACCCATGTGTAGTATATGCTTTGATGTGTGCACTATTTCCTAATTGGGCCATTTCCTAATTGGGAAAAGTGTTACACTTTTTTCTGCCACACCTGATGTCAGGCACAGTGCACATTTAGGTGGGGAATGATTTCCCATGCTTTTTGGGCCAGAAGAGTTAATGGCTAGCATGGTGTGGTCATTGTCAGTGACGATGTGTGCACTATTTCCTAATTGGGAAATGTGTTACACTTTTTTCTGACACACCTGATGTCAGGCACAGTATAGTGTCCGCTTTTTTCATTAGAAATGTGTGCAGTGTCCCCTTCTCTCATTACAAAGGTGTGTAGTGTCTGCTTTATTCATTACAAAATTGTGTAGTGTCCGCTTTTTTCATTAGAAAACTCTGTAGTGTCCACTTGATGCATTACAAAATTGTGTAGTGTCCGCTTTTTTCAGTAGAAATGTGTGCAGTGTTCACTTGTTTCATTACAAAACTTTGTGGTTTGCCTTTCTGATATCTTGTAGCTTCCTGGGGATATAGATCAATGTTTCAGAGAAACTGACTCCAGCCAAACACCTCTTCATCATTTAGAATCCATACACAAGTTGTGTTTTGACTGAGCATCAAGTGTCCTAATTGTCCCCTTGGCCAGCTTCAGTCATGTTGTCCAACATTCATTGCATCTCCCTGGGGACTCATCTCTGTCCATCTATGTCTGACCATAGCCAACCTCAACATAATCTCTTTCAAGACAATCTCAGTGATTGATTTGCCAGCTATTGGGGCTACTGTCAGATGCTGTTCAAGGGGAAAGTTAGGACACTTGATGCTCAGTCAAAACACAACTGGTGTATGAATTCCAAATGATGAAGAGTGGAGTCACAAGATATCAGAAAGGCAGTCCACAAAGTTTTCTAATGAAAAAAGTCGACACTACACAATTTTGTAATGAAAAAAGCGGACACTGCACAATTTTGTAATGAGACACTGCACATTCTTCTAATGAAAAAGCAGACACTACACACCTTCGTAATGAAAGAAGTGGACACTGCACAGTTTTCTAATGAAAAAAGTGGACACTACACAATTTTGTGATGAATAAAGTGGACACTACACAGTGTTGTAATAAAAAAGCGGACACTACACAATTTCTACAAGCTGAGGAATATCCAGATATGCAAGACTGGCTTAATGAGGAGGAGGATTGCCTCTCTACTGAGGATTTGTGGGAATTAAGGGGTAGTTGAGTGCCGAGCTTTCCTGATCTGAAGAACTGGCTTGACAAAAAAGATTGTGAGGGAGAGTTGAAGAAGCATGGTAATCTGAAGGGAAAGAGAAAAGCTCCAGACAGTCCCAAGAAGAATCGTGATAAAGATCAACCAGCAGTGCAGAGAAAGCACAAGAAGTCGAGGCAGGCAAGGGGAAGGTATTTGGATGATGAAGCTTCTGAGTAAGTAGGATTTGTGACTTTCTCCCCTTTTTTTTCATTTCAGAATATGGATGGAATCCAAATGATCTTATTTGTACAGTAGTTTTACTTTTTTCTTCAGATCCACTTTGATGTTTGTTACAATGGCTATATCGCTTGTATGCCAGCACTGGATTCTTGCCTGGTTCTTTATCTGGTCTTGTCTAGTTTCATCTACATATGCTACCCCTCTAGTGCTGCTTGATAATGTTACAGAAATAGAAATGAGCATCCAAGCATTTAAGATCATAATTCCACCAAGTTGGAACCTGTCAGGTAAGTGCCCTTCACTGGCCATGTAACTCTTCATCTGTGGAAACCAACCTCTCAAACTTCTCTTTCAGAACAGCATTATCATGAACACAGTGAGCAAGGCCAGCAACCTGCATAAAATCAAAAACTGCATAGGAGGTGGGAATGAAACTCACCTTTGGAAAAATCTGAAGAGCTACTTTTTCTTCTCCTGAGTCAATGATACTCCCATTGGCTGCCATTTGCTGAATTCCCTTCTCATTCAATGTCTTTGCCACCTTTTCATTGTGTACTGTTTAGCCCTCATCATTCTCTGCTTCATCTTCCTCAACATCTGCCTCTTCAATGACTGCAATCTCCTCCTTATCCTCTGAATCATCACCCTGTTCAAGAACAATTTCCTCTCCTTCACTAAAATCCTCAACCTTTCCTTATTGGTACTGTGAGCTGCAGTTCCAGGGCAAAGCATTTGGACCTTCTTCAGATAGTCAGGATCAGAGACCATGTTAAATGGATGTGCACTGGTAGCATAGTGCTGTGCAAGTAGAGCTCGATGACCTGCTACAGAGTATGGTATAGGAGTGTTGTCCTTTGGTTGCTTCTTGGAGATCCCCTGTGCCTAAAGTCATGCATTCGTCCCTTTTAACATGTTACTAGTACCTTCCGCAGTTTTTGAATGTGGCTGAACAACTGCAGGATGCTTATCTGGATGTGACTTGCATCTAAACACATAAGAGCAAGAGAGAGGCTCTCTCTTGGATCCAAAATTATGCTGGAGGGAGACTGAATAATGGTCGTATGCATCAGAATGCCATGTTGTCTTGGCAGCAGCTACACAAAAGAATTTACAATTTTTTTGAAAGTTAAAATGGCAAGGACTGACCAATTATGTCCTCATCTGAGGTCTTTACCTTCCCTGGTATAATCCATGTGGAATCCATGTGGAATCCATGGAATCCATGAAGAATTCCATATGGAATCCATGGAATCAATGTTGGCTGAGGACACAGCCAGTTTCTGATTCCCTGGACATCATGGATTCCATATGGAATGATGCTGGAATGGTCATGGAATGATTAATTCCATATGGACTCCAACACCATTCCATATGGATTCCATCAGATTCCATATGGAATGCAGGCATATCCACATGTATTCCATGGAGCAGTCCATATGGATTCCATGGAAGGAATTAATGACTATTATACCATTAGAATACAGTGCCCTTACTATATTTAAGTAAAATAAATTTTTTACATCTCGAGGAATTGAATTCTCGACCTCGTGAATGTAAGCAGTGCTCAAGCCAACTGAGCCATGAAGGCATTATTATATGAGAAACTAAAGGTATGTATATACCACTTTTAGGCACGTGCCACTGATGAGCGCGCGCTTATCCTAGGCACGTGAACCCGAATTTCCGAACGAATTTCCGAATATTCTACCAACTTTGCGAATCTTACTCCACATGCGTCCCCTCCTGCCTATATTCGATTCAACAACACGTTCAGACGTCTTCACCAACTTTAGGATGTTCCATTCGCGCGTTTCCACACACACCCCGAATATTCTATCATGTGTACACGCTTTAAATCCGAACTTCCGAATATTCAACAGCTTTGCGAGGATTTCAACAACATCTCCACACACATGTTCACAAGACATTCGCAGACTCATCAACAATTACCCTTTCGCTTTCTCGCCACTTCAGATGTATCTTCACACATGCCCGAATAGTTGTATTGCGAAAGAATGCGCACAGGCACATACTCCGGCATTCATCCATTCCCATCAATCCGGTCTTATTGTTTGCACATTTGGAGTTTAGCTTTAACCTAGGATCAATCGCCATGCACAGCCAGTCTTTGCTTCCATTTTCCGAATATATTGGTGCCTTTCCACCCCTTACTTATTCTTCTTTTATTTTATATTCAGTTTTTTACTTCTTTTGCATTTCTCTGATTTTACTCTTACTATCTTCATGTTTCATGTTTTGGAACTTCTTATCTTTGTTTCTATCTTTCACATTTCCTTTTTTTGAATATTTTCGAATATTTGTACATTCATGTATTTGTAGTATCATAGTACTTCGAAATAACAAGTTGTACTTCACCCCTCGATTCACATCTCGTTCCAGCTGATAATTGTTTCAGCACTTCGTTATACTCGTTGCCATTGTCCTGCACACTGTGTGCACTTGTCAACCTTCGCATTATTCGTTTTCCGATTATTCCCTCCACTCACATTGTCCCTAACATCCTCATACTCCCCACACACCTTCGGACGCACTCCCACACATTAGGAGTTGTGTCTACATCACCTTTCCTGTTTTGAGAAGCCCAGAGAACTCCGTCTCGTGTCTTTCAGAGCCACTCGAAGCAACGCTAACCATTTCCAAAGGTTTTGTATTTGGTGTGTTTTGGATTTTCCATACACATCTACTGCGTTGCAGGCATATCACCACGTCAAACGTGACAGCTGTGGCTGAAGCATTGCCACGTTGTTCCTTCCTTCCTACCACCACCATCACCAACCACCACCACCGTTTCAAACCACGACCGCCCGCAACATCGATGACGACGACAACCATGACACTGACACTGACGACGCGTGACGAGGGCCCAGCCCAGGTAAGTGGGAACAACCACCCCACCCACTCTCCTTTTTGACACAAACCACAGGTGCCACGTCATGACGTGGCAACCAGATGGTGAACGACAACATCGGTTGTCCACCGATGGTGTAGAACATGACAATTGGGCAGAATTGTTTCAGAAGTACAGCACAGAGGTTCTTCAAAATGTGGAAGAATGGTCCACCAAGTTGATCTGACCAAGGAAATTTCATGCCATTCTTAATGCCTTGACAAGCATATATCCTTGACGAAGCCCATAAGGAGTATCCATATATTTTCAAGCTCAGATCTCCTCTCCCTCTTGCCTGCAAAACATTTATCAAAGATATTGGAACAAGTCTCCATGAAAACGAAAATGCCATTCTTGAGGTGAGCTATTCTTCTGGATGGTTTACATTCCTTGGGGATATTATCTGGGAATGATATATTTGTACTGATGACTGGACTCTTTCCAGTTTCTTACCTTGTTTGAGCTGACCATTGCCATATTTAACCTGGATAAGGTTGCTGGCTTGACAGATGACTACATTGAGGAGATTTCCAGCTGCATAGACATCCTTTTGCATTCCTACAGCTCCTGGGCCTCTCAAAGTCAAAGCTCCACAAACCAGCACAATTTTGGCATTGCTGTTGGGGCCATTCAGCTCAATAGAGAGCTTGACAATGTCTACAAGAGCTTCCTTGGTGAAGACATACTTTGGAAGACATTTATTGAAGTCCTGGGTCATATCCACAAAATGGCCCCTCATTTCTTGCCCTGGCATGGCATTCTCACAAAAAAACATCAGCAAAATGAAAGTCAGATGGTTCATTCCCTGAACCACAACAAAGAAGATATTGGGGCTGTTGTTGGGGCAGGGATGGCATCCGCAACTGTTGCAATCAACCAGTGTTACCAAGCTGGGACACAGAAAGTCATTGCAGCTGTAAAAGGGATGGCTGTACATACAGAAAATGAACAGGATTATCTCAGCAGCACTGTCAACTTGCAACTTAAGGACCTTCTTCATGTGTGTATCTTGATTATTCATCAGACTGTTGGATATTTCAGAGTTGCTGATGATTTGTTCTTTGTTCTTTGTTTAGTCCCTTGCCAAGGAATGTGTCCACCAGGCCGAAATCATACTTGAAGGTAGGGAAGGTCACATTCTGTCACACTTGCCACAGACATCTGACGAAGAGATGGGAAACTGAAGTGACTAAGCAAAATGCCCAAATTAGGGCAGCGTGACATCTGCCTCATTGACTGGTTTCGCACTGATCTTCATTTGCGGCATTGATAGCATGCAATATGTTGTTCAACAACTTGAATTTGAGTTTGTAACTAGATATTACATAGGGCACGATGTATGTGCATACTTCTCTCAGTTCATAATGTTCATATCGCTCATATTTAAACTTTCCAAGGCCATTCTTTATTTGGGTGCCTCATTGACAGGTGAATGACTGTAGTTCTGTAATCTATCCATCATCATGTTTGGGTTTCTGTTTTCTTCCCCTCTTGCATGTGCAATATTTAATTTCAATTCACTCCAGGGAGAGATTGGGAATGTTACTCTAAACATCCCTGCCTATAATCTTTGGAGGCTTATTATCACATCTGAGAGTATGTTGGATGGGTTTGTTGTTTTATGTCAGAATTTTATCCCTTCACCCCACCTCTTCATTGGGGAAGTGTAATGCCAATGTGGATATGTGCACCTCTCAATGCTATATATTGAAGTATTCTATCTAATTCAATATGTGATTGGAAATTCAAAGATTACTATTTTTGTAACTCAGTAAGTTGCTCATAGTTTTATTATTGAAGATTCTCAACAGGCCTGGAGTTATATAGATTTAATAAAATGTATAAATCAGAGAGTTAAAAATCTTCCAGATGAAATGGGGACTTAGGGAGCTGATTTGGGAGAGGACATAGGAAGTTCCACAAATATAAGTAAAGATTTAGTCGATTTATTCCATGGAGATGAGAAACCCAAGAAGAAATAATCTAATTTCTCAAAACTACTAGAAGTCTATAGTTTCTGGCCCAATAGGATTTTGGGAAAGCTGAGAAGGTAAGGGAAGGTCATGTTAGAAATATATCTATTGTATGTGTTGGTGTCTTATAGCATGACAAGAGAGGGTTCGCAGTACAAAAATATGAGAAACATTGGGGCATGGTAGAGCAGTAAGAGATGTTAAATGGGAAGCAGTACAATTTATAAAGATATGTAATAAATATTCAACACTCTGTTTAATGGGTAGTCAGAACCAATTTGAATTTGCAAGATGGTATGTCAAAAAACTGGAGTTAGAGTGCCTGCCCCCAGCATGCTATGACCCATGTTGTAGGAGCAGCCAAGTTATTGGCTATGTGGAAGCAGGGTTTGGGGCCCAACACACTGCACTGTGGACTTGCACATACAGATATCAGAAAAATTTCCACTGTGATGCAAAATTTAGCATATATGTAGATGTACCAGTAATTTACACCAACATATAAAGATTTTGTATAATATTACAGTCCAACCTCTGCGATATCTCTGTCACATCAAAATACAGGGCTTTGTTAGAGAAACTAGAGAATATAGGGGACTGGGAAGTAAAAGCAGATCCAGCCACTTTTGCCTTGTTGTGTGTCGCAGCTGAGCAGGGCACTTCTAGATCTGACGGTAAGAATGCATTGCTCACGACTTGGACTTTTAGTACTAATGGTATCATCATTTGTAGAAAACCAGGGGCAACCTGCCACTGTTACACCTTACCTCGTTCACACTCTTACAGCTCTCAGAGTTGTAGACGTCGTCATATGAATCTCAGAGTTGTAGACATCGTCACATGAAGATTTTTTTGAAGGCTTTGAATTCCATGACATGTCAGTGGAGGCTATTGTCTGTTTCTATTTCATGATCAGCTCCCACTCTGGCCCTTCAGTCAGTCTTGACTATGATTCTATGGAGGGTATAAAGATGGATGGCTGTTTAGCTAAAGTCAACTCTTCTGAAACATTGAACTATATCACCTACACAGAGTTAAGAACACTACAAGATACTGGCACAAACCTTTATGGGCTAAAAAAGTGGACACTACAAATTTTTGTAATCTCAAAAAGTTGATGATACAAATTTTTATAATAAGAAAGTGGACAGTACAAACTTTTGTAGTCTAAAAAAAGCGGACACTACAAATCTTTGTAATGAACAAAGGGGACATCTATGTCCAAAATCTTTGTAGTCTAAAAAGGCGGAGACTACAAACTTTTGTAGTTTCTGCATGTTTTCATTACAAAAGTTTGTAGTGTGCGCTTTTTTCATTTTTGAGACTACAAAAGTTTGTAGTGTCCCCTTTGTTTATTACAAAAATTTGTAGTGTCCGCTTTTTTCCATTACAAAGGTTTGTAGTGTCTAAAATCTTTGTGGTCCAAAAATAAAAAAGCGGAGACTACAAACTTTTGTAGTGTCTGCATGTTTTCATTACAAAAATTTGTAGTTTTCGCTTTTTTCATTACAAAAGTTTGTACTGTCCGCTTTTTTAGACTACAAAAGTTTGTAGTCTTCGCTTTTCTAGACTACAAAATTTTAAATGAAAAAGCGGACACTACAAACATTTGCAAAAGCTATTAGTAAAGATAGGTAAACACACTCCAAAATGACCTATCTTAGTACATTTTTGGCTTTAGTGTCTTCCGCTGCTTAAAATAACACAAAGTAAAAATAGATTATGGGTCCTATAATATTTAAGCATATTTCCCATCAATTTCCCCATCAGAAATACGGAAGGATTGGATGGATGCGAATGGATGGGTTTGGATGACGAGTTGGCAATAGCATTTGTTAGAAACATGGCCAAATAGGATACCACAGACACTAAGGACAAATGTCGGGGGTAATTGTTATGTGCGAGTTTCAACATAACACCAATGTCACACAATGTGATGTGTCTCTTTCTTCAACCACAACCATGACAGCCGATGACACGTCAACAGCAACAATGACCACCACACATGAGCACCCATCGACGATTGGTGACAAGCGCCCACCACCAGTCACAACCGCCCATCGACGGATGGCGACAAGACAAGTGGCCATGAGCGGCCATCATCCCTACCAACCTCCACGAATGCCCACCACCAGTGACAAGTGCCCATCGACAAACAGTGACGAGCGCCCACATGCTCACCAGTCACAAGCACCCGTCGACGATTGGCGACAAGCACCCACCGCCAACATGTATGACCGCCACCACCACTCACAAGTGCCCATCGACACAGGGCCACAATGGCCCACAACCCCTCACTGAGCGAGGCCCCACCACCATCGACGACAAGCACCCACCACACCACATACCAATGACAAGTGGCCATGACTGCCACCCATGCCCAGGGTCTGGCAGCACCATTGACAAACCACCTTCAGCACAACATCCACGAGCTGATGCAAGTGTCAACAACCAACGTCATTGTTGTTGTTTTAGATTGGAGCACAGTAAGTACTGCCCAGCACTCCCTCCCCCTCCCTCACTGTCCAGCACTCTCTCCCACCTCCCTCATACAAACAAATTTTATCTGAGGCTAAAGTTCATGCCTTTGCAATAAATAAAGTCTTGCAAAATTCTTGTTTTCCTTCAGAGGCCATGCCATTGTGATGGATACAACATTAATTTATTGGTCATGAATATAAATGGCCTGGCAAGATATACACTTTTAAGTGCTTTTGTTGAATTATCCACAGTGAAAATGGCCAAACCCTGGGATAAAGCCCAATCAAGCTAATTTTCAAGTGAATTTTCAAAGGATCAAGTTCACCCTATAGCCACCACTTGTAGCTTAAAATGTCAGAAGAAATCCGAAGAACCAGTCCACAAAAAATGGAGCCCAATGGATCAGTATTGCAGCCTGGAGAAATAATTTTCATATTTTGTAAAAAGGACCCCAGACTCCCTGTGACAGCTATGGAATGATGGTATGGTATGGTATGGTATGGTATGAGGTGGAATGGTATGGTATGATATGTGGCATCCATACCATGGTACGATGGAATTGGTATGAGGGTCATACCACTCTGGAATGGGGTACCACTAGTGTTTGAAAGTTAGGTTAGTTAACCAGAAAATAACCGGAAAATAACTGGACCTAACCACAACACTAACCTAACCGCGGTTAGGGTTAGTTGATTTCGAAAATGGAATAACCGGTTATTTTGTGGTTAACTAACTGTTAAATAACCGGTTATAACCAGCCCTATTATACACCTTCAAAACGCACTTGAGAACGTCGAAAACACTTAAAATTTGACTAAGTTACAGTCAAATCTCTAAATATCACTCAAATGTGTCGACTTTCAAGGATAATTGCATAAATATGTCAATTCTTCACCGATTTTAGCGTTCTTGGGCTCGTTTTAAAGCTAGAATATGCAGAAATAATATCTATCAAGATACATATGAGCATATTTGCCTAAATTTCTGCCCTGAAGAAGGTGTCCTTCCTGCAATAGATGGGATAATCGCCGATGAAGTCAAATCATGAAAGAGTGCCAGGGTGTGTTTTCCTTGATTTCTTTACAATACCTTGTTGAATGGGCAACAGCTTGAAGACCCAGGTTCCCTTGTCCAGATTGGTTACTCTGCTGGTGCCTGAGCTGCACCAGCATTTCACTGGGTCCGGAATCTGATGAGGAAGCTACCTGATCAGGTTGTTGCTGACAAGGACTACAAGTCTAGTTCTGCATTTGCATTGCTTTGGAATTTGTGCCGTGACTTCCTGCCTGAAAAGATCATGGAGGATTTCGATGTATTCCTTGACCATTGCAATATGGTTCGCATGAAATCTGGTCAGGGAGCAGCATCAGAGTTTATAGCAGGGGAGGGTGTCGGAACCCATGGAGAATACATGGTGTGTGTTGGGGATGCTAAATTTATTTTCCAAGATGCAGAGATGGCTCCACCATCTGGTGTCTTTGGTCAAAATTATTCAAGGTGCACTTCTGTAAATTCTTATTTCATGGGATATACTTACTAAATGTTTCAGTTCTACACATGTGGAGTATCAACCCCACATGTACACATTGGCCTGGACAGTCAGAAGAGATCACCCCTCTGATGCAGGGGGGCACTTTTATATCAGAACATATGGGATTTGCATACAGGCTGCAGCAAACAGTCTTGTTGTTTGGAGGCCTGCAGATGTGCATGGTACAAGCCTTCAAGACCTGGATCCTCACTTCAGTCACCCACCTTGAACAAGCTATTAGCCTTGAAACATATAGGTATATATCCAGGCTAATAGGTTCCTTGGCCATTTATTTTTTTGCCTCTGGAGGAAAATATATTATTGCATTGGGCAAAAATGTTTGACCTTCAATATTGTGACCGGAAATATTTGGGTTGATATATTGCATTGAAAAATATCCTAGCCATCTGAAAGTGGACGGAAATATTTGAAGCATGTTAGAGTGGTAGGAAATATTTGAAGTGTTTCAGACTGGTTGGAAATGTTTGAAGCATGTTAGAGTGGTCAGAAATATTTGAAGTGTTTCAGACTGGTTGGAAATGTTTTAGCTATGTCACACTGCTGAAAAATCTTTTGGTCATGTCACACTGGTAAGAAATGTTTGAGCCATGTCACACTGCTGAAAAATGTTTTGACCATGTCACACTGCTCGGAAATGTTTTAGCCATGTCACACAGGCAAAAAATTTCCTGCCAGTGTCATGGAGTATCTGGGGTCCTAGTTTCAAAAAAAAAACTTCATAAATTTCTGACCATTCAAACTTTTATCTTCTAGATTCAACTTTTCTACAAAATTTATCATAAAGATAATTTTGGTCCTAAACTTGTCCTTTAACTTTTATATTGTATTTTTATTATAGAAACAGCAGATTATATATTGCATGCAACTGTATCTATTGGTATTCAGCTATTTGTTATATAGTTATAGCCTTTAAATTATGCTTCATCAGATAATAAAGGTTTTTACTGACTACTCTTATATTGAGTTTATATTGGTGATTGCCTATAATAGACTAGCCCTAGTTACTGAATCATTACTGTTGTCTATTATTCATGCAAATTACCAGAGATAAATATTGGCTGATGTGCAAGCCATATTGTGGTACACCACTGAACGTAAGTGTCCCCAGGGTAGTGGAACAGCTGTTGGAATGTCTAATGGACAATGCAACCAAAGTTGTTGTAACTCTAAGAGTAGGTCGTTCCGGCCAATCGATCAATAGCTAGGAGCCATGGAATGTGACAGTTCATAGTACCCATGCTCCGATCTTCATGGACACTCCCATTGGAGAGTGCTATGATTATGCAAGTCGTGAAGGTGCCTCCACATGTATTGCCTAGTATTCAAGTTAGAGCTGTTAGTAGGGCTTCAAGTTGAGCAACATGAGCAATAGTGGTTAAAGAGATAGATTCCCTCATGGACTACATGAGGTGTAATGTACAAAATAGATGATGTAAGCAGAATCTGACTAAGCATATGGTAACAGACAGACTGATAGTTCCATGATGTTGGGGAGTGGAAAGAGTAAGATGTGTGTGTAGGGAGTTGCTTACTGGACTGACATACTACACATATTCTTCACTGCAGTAGACCTATGTTTCTGAAAACTAGAGAGAGTTCTGGGGATTGTTACATTTACCATGCTAGCTATATTTTCTCACTCCTAGAGATATGTTCCTGAGCACTGGAGAGAGTTCTAAGGATTGTCAGGGTCTGATGTTTCATGTAAATGTATGTGATGTGATGTATTCATGTTTGTTGGCTATAATGACATATTAAATTTCTTCAACATCATCATGACTGCTGGTACTTTACTGTGCCCCACCAATATCTGCAGAAATGGCTAGAATCCTCCAGAATTCTGATCTCTCTATTAGAAATATTTGAATTTTCTTTTTTAGACATGGATTTTAGACTTTGACAACAGTACCCAACAAGAAGTCCCATTTTTTCTCATTTTTACCATGTTTTATAAATGATTTCATTTAAAATAGTAATATTTCTCATTTAAAATGCAAAATGGACTCTGAAATCAGCCCTGCAACATTATGACCACCAGTAATTACCATCTACATTTTCTCCAATGTTACTCTCATTTTATTATGATTTTCTAGCCATATTTACACAAATTACCTTATTTGGAAATATGCACAGATCATATCCACCATGCACCCACATTGTCAGTAACAGTTAATAGTATGTCTGTTCTTTTTTTCTGTTTTCTTTTCTGATTCTCACACTATATTTGTATCAATTGCTATATTACAAAATGCATACAAACCATGTATATGGTACCTCAATATTCCTGACAATAGTCCATTATTTTTCTCTTTTTCCTATAATTTTATGGCTATATTTTCATTATAGACTATATTTGGAAATATGCACAGACCAAGTAAACAGTACACCAAGACCTATTTACATCACATGATTTTTCTTATTTTTCTAATTACATTTGTATTAATTACTATATTAGCAAATATGCACAGGCCATGTACATACCCAATATTGTCAACAACAGTCCATTTTCTTATTTTTCTGGCTATATTTGTATCAATTGCTATATCAGAAAATGTGCACAAACTATGTTCATAGTATGTCAATATTGTCAATAATAGTACATTATGTTTCTGTTTTTCTTCTAATTTTCTAGCTATATTGTCATTAATTACCATATTTGGAAATATGCACAAACCAAGTAAACAGTACATCAAAATTATCACATATCATTTGAATTTTTTATTGTTTTTCTGCCTATATTTATATTGATTACCATATTGGAAAATATGCACAAACCCTGTATATTGTACCCCAATATTTTCAACAATACTTTATTATTTTAATTTTAATTTTATAATTTTATAAGTTCTCTTCTTATTTGTTTGGCTGTATTTGTATTAATTACTATATTGACCATATATCTATTTTCCCCTTCTTTTTGTCTGATTTTCTATATATATTTCCATAATGGGAAATGTGCACAGGCCTTCAACAATACTTTATTATTTTTATTTTTATTTTTCAATTTTCTAGCATTATTGAATTTCCCTTCTTATTTTTCTGGCTGTATTTGTATTAATTACCATATTGACCATATATCTATTTTTCCCCTCTTTTTGTCTGATTTTCTATATATATTTCCATAATGGGAAATGTGCACAGGCCATTAGTAATGGTCTACTATTTTTTCTTCTTTTTTTCTGACAGCAGTGGTGGTGTGGGAAAGACAGATCACATAATATAGAATATAAATAAGTACATCATGAGTCAGATGTTTGTCTATTATTTGTGCTATTGCTTCCATGCCTATCCATTTGCTACTCTGTCCCCATGCCAAAGACAATACCCAAACAAGAGCCCTTACTCCTCTCCTTTGTGGAATCCTCTGCACCATTTACAATGGTTTTATATAATATCAAGAACCAATATACTGAATTTCCTACAGGGTGGTGGTGTATTGCATGTTGGTAGTGAGTGCATATTGGGTCATTGTTATGTCCTTGTAATAGTAGTAGGGTGCCTACAAATCTTATGCTTTCCCTATACCATACCTACAAATTACAATGTCCATATCTACATGCAATATGTCTAGACTATCTACAAATGACAGTAACTAGATGATCACTATGAGCATATAAAGTGCACTATTCAATGATCCTCACCCCCCAGCAGATGTGTAACACATTATCTATGTGTTATATGTGGGGAGCTGTTGATGAATGTTGTATAGTGAGCCAAAATGATAATGGTGTTAAGACCAAGCTGTGATTGGCTACAATACAAGTCAGATCTTGATTCAAGAGACATTCTGCTAGTATCTAGTGGAGATCATTCATGCTTCAGAATTCCACTGCAGAATCCCCACTCCTTCTCTGGAAATTCTACACCAAAAGGTTGGATAAATGAAAGATTATTCCTTCATCTACTGGTGCATATATGTGGTAGTGTAGACAGCTGTATAACTAATACAGCCTTACAGCCTCCCCTACTCTATAACATCAACCAGGACCTTCCAACATGTAGTCATCATGATATAGGTGACCCCAGGGGATCTCACCTTGCAACTTGTCACTTACTGCTACAGTTGGTGAGGTAAATGAACTGGCAATGTAATCTTGCCTCTGGCTTGGTTTGAACCACCAACCTGCTGACAAGCTGTAATCTTTTATTTAGTGTAAACTGAATGCCTATTCAGTGACTTTGGTGTCACAAGACCCAGTCTATCAGGGCAGGTCTTATCAGATCTGCACTGTTATCTCTTCCTGCATCTGTATCCAACCTCTCATGGATTTCCAGGGTAGCTTTGAATATCTGGAGCAATCTTAAATCTTGCTAAAATACACCCACATCTAGTCTCTAACCCTCATTCTTCCTCTCTTTGGACTGTAGCTGTGACCAAGATCACAGCTGGGTCTTCTTTCCATTGTCATTCCAGCTTGCCATACCACTTTCATTGACAGCTTCCACATTTAACACACATATAATCCATTAGACCACCCAAATTTGAAATACTACTAGAATAAAATCAGAAAGAAATTGGATGGGGTAATGTTTACATGGTCTGTGCACAGTTCCATATATAGTAATTACTAAAATTACAGCCAAAAAGTCAGAAAAAAATAAGAAAAGAAATTCACATGCTGGAAATGGTCATTAATAATGTTAATGTATTGTTTACTTGGTCTGTGCACATTTCCAAATATGGTAGGTAGTGAAAATATGGCCAGAAAATTGATGTCTGACTCTAGCTGATATGGTTTCATCTGATAGGCACATGATAAATGCATCATATAGTTGTTCACATTGTATATCACATGGTACAGTCATATGATATGACATGTGATCAATCATGTGATATAGTAGTCATGTGATGTGATCATGTGACAATGTCATGTGGTCTGATTATGTGATATAGATCATGTGATAGCCATCAAAGATTTTGGCACTTATCTAGTATTTACACCAGAATAGTGTGGCTACTACAATTGCAAAATAGAGTAAGTATTGCATTTTCACATGAAAAATTGAAGAGAAAGAGGGAAAATAATAGAGGAAATTCAATAAAGCTAGAAAATCAGAAAAATAAATTAAAATTAAAATTAAAGTAATAAAGTAATGTTAAATATTGGGGTACAATATGCAGGGTCTGTGCACATTTTCCAATATGGTAATCAACATAAATATAGGCAGAAAAATAAATAAAAATTCAAATGATATGTGATAATTTTGATGTACTGTTTACTTCGTCTGTGCATATTTCCAAGTATGGTAATTAACAAAAAGATAGCAAGAAAATTAGAAGAAAAATAATGTACTATTATTGACAATATTGACATACTATGAACATAGTTTGTGCACATTTTCTAATAGAGTAATTGATACAAATATAGCCAGAAAAATAAGAAAATGGACCCATTGTTGACAATATTGGGTATATATATTGCCTGTGCAAATTTGCTAATATAGTAATTAATACAAATATAATTAGAAACATGAAACAGATCATGTGATGTAAATAGATCTTGGTGCAATGTTTACTTGGTCTGTACATATTTCCAAATATAGTAAATAATGAAAATATATCCAGAAAATTAGAGCCAAAAGAGGAAAATAATAGACTATTGTCAGGAATATTGAAATACCATACACATGGTTTATGTGCATTTTCTAATATAGTAATTGATACAAATATACTGTAAAAATCAGAGAAGAAAAGAAGAAAAAAGGACAGACATACTATTGACTGTTATTGACAATGTGAGTGCATGGTGGACATGACCTGTGCATATTTCCAAATAGGGTAATTTGTGCAAATATAGCCAGAAAATCATAATAAAATGAAGGTAACATTGGGGAAAATGTAGATGGTAATTACTGGTAGTCATAATGTTGCAGGGCTGATTTTGGAGTCCATTTTGCATGTTCAAATGATAAATATTACTATTTCAAATGAAAATCATTTATAAAATATAGTAAAAATGAGAAAAAATAGGACTTCTTGTTGGGTACTGTTGTCAAGGTCTAAAATTTATATCTAACAAACAAAATTCAAGTATTTCTAATAGAGAGATCAGAATTCTGTAGGATTCTAGCCATTTCTGTAGAAATAGATGGGGCACAGTAAAGTACTGGCAGTTGTGATGGGGTTCAAGAAAGAAATTCAATATGTCACTATAGTCAACAAACACAAATACATCACATATACATTTACATGAAACATCAGACTCTGACAATCCTCAGAACTCTCCAGTGCTCAGGAACATACCTCTATGGGAGTGAGAGAATAGAGCTAGCATAGTAAATGTAACAATCCCCAGAACTCTCTCTAGTTTTCAGAAACATAGGTTTACTGCAGTGAAGAATATAATATGGCTTGCACATCAGCCAATATTTACCTCTGGTAATTTGCATGAATAATAGACAACAGTAATGATTCAGTAACTAGGGCTAGTCTATTATAGGCAATCACCAATATAAACTCAATATAAGAGTAGTCAGTAAAAACCTTTATTATCTGATGAAGCATAATTTAGAGGCTATAACTATATAACAAATAGCTGAATACCAATAGATACAGTTGCATGCAATATATAATCTGCTGTTTCTATAATAAAAATACAATATAAAAGTTAAAGGACAAGTTTAGGACCAAAATTATCTTTATGATAAATTTTGTAGAAAAGTTGAATCCAGAAGATAAAAGTTTGAATGGTCAGAAATTTATGAAGTTTTTTTTTTGAAACTAGGACCCCAGATACTCCATGACACTGGCAGGAAATTTTTTGCCTGTGTGACATGGCTAAAACATTTCCGAGCAGTGTGACATGGTCAAAAGATTTTTCAGCAGTGTGACATGGCTCAAACATTTCTTAGCAGTGTGACTTGACCAAAAGATTTTTCAGCAGTGTGACATAGCTAAAACATTTCCAACCAGTCTGAAACACTTCAAATATTTCCTACCACTCTAACATGCTTCAAATATTTCCGTCCACTTTCAGATGGCTAGGATATTTTTCAATGCAATATATCAACCCAAATATTTCCGGTCACAATATTGAAGGTCAAACATTTTTGCCCAATGCAATAATATATTTTCCTCCAGAGGCAAAAAAATAAATGGCCAAGGAACCTATTAGCCTGGATATATATCTATATGTTTCAAGGCTAATAGCTTGTTCAAGGTGGGTGACTGAAGTGGGATCCTCATGATACCAACCCTTCAATTTTGCAAAGAGGCCTTGCGATTGTGAACACTATCTCTGTTCACCATGACTCTCCTTTCTTCAATGCTGATTGGACGATGTGTTCCATTATTTCAGTATTCCCTCTTTGGAAAAATGGCAGATCTTACACAACATACTTATCAGGACGAACTTAGACAGATCTTCCGATGAAAGAGTAAGGAGGGGGTTAGGTGACTCTACCCATCTTTTCAACTCATTCTTAGTCGCCTGATCATATTTGCGCAGGCCTAGCTATGTGCGCCAGGCTTGAAGCTTGAAGCCTGAACTTGAACATGAAAAGTTGGTCCAGGAGTCCTTGGAGCTCCCACCAGTGGTAATAGTGGGGTTGAACCAAAAGGTCAGTCACGGTTGTCCCCTTATGTTGTATCTATGAGTTTCGAAAGCAAGCCGGATTAATAATTGATAACCAGCAGATCACTGGCAACCAGTCCAAAGAACACAGACACAATTAAAAGTTGCTCCAGTTAATGTGGGGTATTATGGTCACAACGTCAGCACATGCAATGTGCAGAGTTGCTGAAAATAAGTTGCCATGAATGTGATCAGCTTGTCACATCTTGCTCAAATACCAGAAGAAAAAGAGTAGGTGGTGGATAGTTGTCAGAATTGGACCAGCTTCTCTATTTGTGGTCTCGAAAGACCAAATCCTAAGACACTTGCAAGTCATGTTGAAGAGTTTCTACCCTTACAGCAGACTTACCAACAAATTACCATCAAACACAAGTGATTTATTTGATGGGTATAAGGCCCAACTATTACACAAGATGGCAACAGTATTGCAAGAGAAAACCAGAAAGTGCAAGGGGGGAGAGTGGTGAAATCAAGCTAGAATAGTTATTGGTGGGTTGCCACCCCAAGGTCAGAGTGCTTAAAAGTAAAATAAGTCCATATCTTTGTGAGGAAAACAATGGAATGGCATACCCCAGCTCCAAGAGACGCAAGAGGACCCAATGGACCTTGTTTATGGCTGCCAACCAACTTGTAAAGTTCTCCACGGGTTTACCGTTGATTGAGCTGCCCCACCACGTGAGAGTCCCACCATGCGAGAGTTGACAGCACGGTCAGAAATCTGTTCTGCCCATGCTTGCGAAGCACGTCCCAATCATCTTGCACCTCTACCAGACAATGTTCGCCTCCGAGAAGACCTTCGATGGCGGCAACCTTTCGAGATGGTGGCTGCAAATTCTTCCACCAGGACCACCAACACTTATCGAAAACATCTACATTCTTGATTGTCGGCTCACATTCGCGCCCGTGGCCGATCCACCAAGAAACCTCATCTGGTCTATCACCCTTCCGGAAACCAGTTGTGTGCCCCCCAACCTCAAAATTTGTACGTGACTCAAGCTCAACGTAGAGAGGAAGGAGGGGTGAGAAGATAGGGCTGAGGTTCTTGTTCTTTAACATTTCGTCTGCGTTCGTGAACCATGTTGGCCAAGCAGGGTTTGGTAGGCTTTGAGGTGCAGTATTTGCATGCAGGGGCTGAGTAGATGTTGAAGGAGTAGGATTTGGGGAGGGAGCGACGTCGTTAGGTTGAGGGGAAACAGGCGAAGACCTGTGGGTCAAAGCTAGATCCAAGCTGTCAATCGCTGTGTTGACAAATGCTTCGCCGCCAGGTTGGTCTTCATGAGAGGAGAGTTCCAGTGCAGCGCTACTCGTCTGCAACGTTGAGTGAGGAGACTTTCTCCCTCTTTGTCAGGCAGGGCCGAGTTTTTGGATTGTGGTGCAGGATCGACAATTTCACCAGCTGAGGACGGAACGATGGGAAACTCCAAAGGTCGAGGCCCTTCAATCAAGGATTGATCGCAGATGAGCGTGGAGCGGTTGGTTACGACATTCTTTGCTAGCTGCCTTGCGGTCGTACATGTTGTCAGTCGCAGAGGAACATCCTCATCACTGTCACTGTCATCCTCGCTGGTGTCTATATCAGACAGCACATCGTTGAACTCTGCCCCCCCCCCTCCTCCTCCTCCTCCTCCGTGTTAGACTCCTCGGCATCGGACTCCTCAGTATTAGCATGGTGCTTCCCCTTCTTCCGCTGGTGCTTCTTTTGCTTCTTTAATGTCCGGCTGCCGCCTTGTTCACGCGTCCGCTTCCTCTTGCCATTGCCCTTTGTCGACGCCATGGATGTAGAAGGCTTCATGGGGGGAGCTGACTGGTGGGAAGGCGTGTCCTTTGTTGAAGTGGTGGAGGCAAAAGTGGAAGGCGCATCGATCATCATAGAGGATGATGGGTCGTCGTCATCTAACAAGGGCTGCTTGTCGCTAATGGTCAAAGCACACACTCGCTGTTCATCAGGAGCTAGCAGTCATAAGATTAGTCAATGGTGTAGTACCTAGAAAGTTGTACTTAGTGGCGAAGGAAATATTTGAGAGAGTAAGGTGTGTGAGGGTGGCGGTGAAGGTAGAAATGAGGTTTCGCTTGGACTGGTCATGGAGCCCCATCCAGTCGACATTTTCCAAGCGAAGATATGAGATGTGTGTCATGACGGTAAGGAAGGGCACCAGTCTACGCAACCAGCGGCGGTCCCCGCCCTGGCAAGAAACCAACTCCAGATTTCTTGCGAAAATTGGGATGGTGGAATTAATAGGAAGAGATAGTGAGGCGAACTCGTCCATGTTGATATGGTCCAAGTAAACTCGTCGAAAGAGATGAGGACGGCAAACGTTCAGCCATGTGTGGCAGGCAAGGCTGCAAGACTTGAGCAGTTCGTGGTCTTCTGCCACGTACTGAATAATTTCCTCGACGAGTTCCATGGGGAAAGTGACGCCCTTATAATCGGCGCCGATTTGCCACTTTGCCACAGAAAAGGGTATTGGGGGAATCTATGAGATAACGACGTTTAGCAACAAATTGGAGTTCACACAAAACGAGGCCTCACTTCTGAAAACGATCTTGAAAGGAGGTTATGTGAGCGAACCATGGTAAGTGATGGGGGTTGAATATTAGGGTAGACTTTATACCATGACTCGGCAGCAGACGTCAATACTAACAATAGAAGTTTTGGTAGATCCCCAGGTTTGGTCAGTTCCCTTGATTGCCCCTTGATTCACCGTCGACTGGTCAGCACATAGAGTTTTGGTAGCTCCCCAGTTTTAGTTAGTCCCCTCGAATGCCCCTTGATCTCCCTTCATCCAGCGAAATATTGCTGATGAGGAAGGTCCGTAAGATCGAGTGTCGCAGCGAAATTGCAGCCGTGCTATCTTCTTGTGGAACCTTCGTGTCTCCTCGTATGCGATAATTTCGGATTGATTTCGGATGCTTGACTGGTATGTCAGACTCCAAGCAGCCCTGCAGATCCAACCGAGCTTTGAGCTCACCTCGGACTAAGCGAGCGGTTGTAAAGCTCGTACATAGTAAGCCTTAAGGTCTGTGATGATGAGATTGAACAACATGTCGCACTGCTGTACCTGTTGTAAAGCCCTGAATGAAATGAATGGGCTGTGACAAAGTCAACAGCGTCGGCGTCTGATTGAAACACCGACAAATACAAGCTTTTTCGTATTCCTGTGCAAACAAAAACATTTTCGTCCGCAAAAACCGCGATGCCTTCCGCACTAAGGGATCCAGAAACTTTCGGAAAGAAAGTGTCGAAACAGGGCAAGGGAAAGGCGCTATCTAGTGGGAGCAAAAAGGTCGCGCCGATACCGGAACCTGTCGAATCGGTGGATGACGAGGACGAGGACGATGAGGGAGTCGACGAGGAGGGTATGGCGAGGCTGATGAAGGCTTTGGGTGAGGACGCTCTGGATGAGTTTGACCAGGCCCAGCTGCGGTCTCTGGCTGGGGATGACGATTCTTTGGAGGGGGATGCGAATAGCGAGGGCGAAGGGGAAGACGATGAAAAAGCTGCGGTTGACGATGAGGATCAGGATGACGACGAAGAGTCTGCTGCAGAGGGTGACGAGGATGCGCCGGAGGACAGCGATCAAGAACAAGATGAAGATGAAGAGGAGGAAACGGCGGTGCTACTCGATGAAGCTGAAGATGTGGACGAGGACGCGGTTCCACGCCAAAAAATTGAAGTGGACGACAAGGTGGGTTCTCATTAACCACGGATATCATTGCCTAACTTTCTTTTTTTTGTCTAGATCGCTCTTGAACGTATCCGTGAAGCAATTCAACTTGACCCATCCTTGCCATGGACAGAAACGTTAACACTATCATATCCCGAAACAATTGATGTTGACGTCAACGACGACCTCAACCGCGAGCTGGCCTTGTACGTTTTCCCTTTAAATAAATCCTACACTTTGATACTCAATCCCTCCACTCTGCTAGTTACAAACAGGCATTACATAGTGCCAATGCCGCCCGTGCCCTTGCTACAAAACATAAGTTCCCCTTCACCCGGCCCTCAGACTACTTTGCCGAGATGGTCAAAAACGACGCGCACATGGAGCGGATCCGTCAGCGCCTTCTAGATGAAGGCGCCGGGATCAAAAAAAGCGAGGAAAAACGAAAAGAGCGGGAAGGGAAGAAATTCGGAAAACAAGTACAGATCGAGAAACTCAAGGAGCGCGAGAGGTCGAAGAAGGAAATGGAGGAGAGGCTGAAAGGGCTGAAGCGGAGTAAGCCAACTTCCTCTTCCCCTTTTTCTAAGCACTTGCTGACGTTTTACGCCACAGAACGAAAAGACATCTTGGACAATCCCCAAGCGGGTGAAGACGACTTCGACATCGCAGTCGAAGATGCTATTTCCGACCGTCCCGCCAAGCGTGGCAAAGCAGCTGGAGGACGCGGTCTTGCTCGCTCAGCACGGGACCAGAAGTACGGCTTTGGCGGGGCTGGCAGGCGCTCAAAACAAAACACGAAGGAGTCGACAGATGACTTTGGTGACGGTGCGGGACGGGGAAAGGGACGGTTCGGCGGCAGAGATGGAGGAAGAGGCGGTAGAGGTGGAGGTGGTGGGAGAGGCAGAGGTGGTGGTGGTGGGAGGGGTGGTGCGAGAGGCTCGTCTGGAGGTTCTAAACGTCTAGGAAAGTCAAGGCGAATGACGATGCGAAGCAAGTCATAGGTCATGATAGGTTTATTGACGAATTTTCGTGGTTTCCCGTTTGCCTTTCAATTTCTGAGGTTGTTGGTCTTTGGAAGCCATACGATGATCAAACTCGATGGCGTACAGGTGGTACTGATAACCATTTCGGCTGGTGGTTTTGACCTCCTAGTTATTTCCTTACCTTCATTTTCATTAAATTTCAAGCTTCATGTCGACTTTTCGCCGTCGTCGACCTCGTTAGTGTAAATAAAGCAAGATTTCTTTTGTTGACGCACCATCATGCACACACAGTACAGCCTCTTGGGTCAAGTTTCAAGGCGTCCTCGAGGCCCCTTCTTTCTCTTCCACAACATCGATTACCTCAAGAGTGGGCTGGACCCCTCTCAATAATGTTCACTTTACGTCTTTGCCTCGTTCTTGTGCTCTGGGCAGCATTTGTGGTCGGGTTACCGCTCCGCAGTCGATCTGCAGATATCATTGAAGGGTAAGTGGGGTCCGCTTTGTATCCCCCATGATGTGGCTCATCCTGCGTTGTTAGACGTGGATGTGCGACGGTAGTAACGATGGAGGAGCGAGCGTTCATGGAGCAGGCCTTGGACAGTGTGAGATTGTTCAAACGCGATGTCAAGGATTCGAAAGCCACCGCAAAAGTCAAGCCTGTCAAATTTGATGTATACTTCCATATCATCGCAGCGAACGAGACATACGAGGGCGGTTGGATTCCGTGAGTTGATATAGTCTTTCCAAGATAGCTCAGTACTGACCGTGCATCTACATAGAAACTATCAGATCAAGGCCCAGGTCGATAGGTTGAATACCGACTTCAATACTACAGGAATCTCGTTCAATTACAGGAACACTTCCCGTATCTTGAACGCAGATTGGTTTGAGAACGTTTACCCTGGCTCGTGAGTAGTCTTCCTCTATGACCTACAGGCTCCTGCAACTGCTAACACTGGCCTAGACCTCAAGAACAAGAGCTCAAACGGGCATATCGGCAAGGCGATGCTACCACTCTCAACATCTACACCGCCGGATTCAACAGGACGAACCCCTCACTGGGATACGGCTCCATGCCCTCCAAGTACTTCAAAGACCCAATCAGTGACGGTGTCATTGTCCGGTACTCCACCTTCCCTGGCGGTGAACGCAAGAACTACAACCTCGGCCGAACGACGGTGCATGAGGTTGGACATTGGTTCGGGCTTTACCACACGTTCGAAGGGGATGGGTGTGATGGTGTTGGGGACAACGTCGCAGACACGGCCCCGGAAGCTTCAGGTGCGGAAGGGTGCCCTGTTGGCAGGAATACTTGCCCGGGAGGTCCACCGGATCCTATTCGTACGTCGTGTTTGATTCCTCTTGCCTACTGAAAACCCTCTTACGGTCTTGACAGACAACTATATGGATTACTCTTTCGATTTGTGTATGAGAGAGTTCACGAAGGGTCAAGCGGTCAGGATGCACGAGGCCATACGAGCCTTCAGATCCCCACGGAATGCTACAACCATAGCGTCGTCGGCCTCATCCTCCACCCCCAGCGCAACCCCAACCAAAGGGTCATCACCAGCAAAGGGCACAGTCTCCCCTGTTGTCGGTCCTCCGAAATCTGGATCCGAGGCAGCGGCCAAGAAGCCTGTTATCGAGGTAACTTACACCCCTGCAGCGTCGAAAGCAACCCCGGCAGCGGCAAGGAACTATAGCGCTGGATCCGTCATGCCAACACCATCAGCGCCGACACCAGTAAGCGAAGATGCGGAGCACGAGGGGGGAGCCTGAATCTTAAATGTCTGATCAATTTGCTGTAACTTGCAATGATTACGCTTCAATCTATGCTTTGCTCTCCAAATTGACGCTTATTGATGAGCAGACATCTGAGAGAAGGTTTCGATCTTTTTCATGATGCTGGGAAGATGTGTGCTAATCGACGTTCAGTTGATGTCGAGAGGGGTGACATTGACAGGCGAGGTCAAGATGATCAAACAGTTCAAGATCTCAACCCTATTCTCTCTTCTGCTCTACGGGCTGGCCCACCGTCTAATCGTTCCCACCTTGATATCGAATGCCATTTGTGCAACTCAACGGGTACTTATTCTTTCCTCATCTGCCAACGTTCTCCTCATCTTTTCGTCCGTCCACAGAGTGGACTTGACATGACTATTTCAACGTCCCTATCTCGACAGTATTTGACCCCTTTAATGCGATGACCCACCGGCGATTTCTCTTGGGTGTCTCCCAACATCCTTCTTTTCATTCTGCCGCATCTTGATCACTGTGCTGGGTACCGTGGCCGCTGGCCAACGAGATCCCACGGTCACCTCCGCTTAACGTTCTACAGGCCTGTGTAACTCCTCCAGCTTAGAGTTCCCCTTTGATAGACCGACGGCGGCGAGGCAACGTGCAACAATCTGAACTCGCGATGCCTGAGTTGGCGGTGGAATGATGGACTGTCGAACAGCCATCAACGAGGGGAGGGAGACGAGCTTACGGGCGACGTAACACGCAACTACTTCAAGACACAGTTCCCGTTGATATACGGGCAGCGCGCGAGGCGACGTGGAACGTTTCGAATTGATGAGACTTGGGTTGGCGGTGGAACGGCGAACGATCGGACACGCGCCGTCAGAGAGGGGAAGGAGACGAGTATACGATCGAAGTCCGGAGGATTTTTGGGGTCGCCATAGGGCAGGGATCGCTCTGCAGTGGGGGTTGGATCGAACGAGACGGCCATAAGTTTGTGGGGCGCTCAGTAACGAGGAGCACCGGCCTTGTTCCATAATTTCCACCCACAAAACTCGCGACCACTGCGCTCGGTCGCAGATCACGCACGGCCTTGCACAGCACAAGAAGTAGCTGTACTATAGCTATGCATGCCCGCCGTAATTTCGTCCTCTTCCATTCAAATTCGGGTTGGGGGTGTCAATTCGGGTAGACATGGGATGGTATTCTACATCCGTGATTTGGGGTAGTAGAAACTGGCATTCTGTAGTAACAAATGGTCAGGAAATCGTAGAAAGCAGAGTGACATGGACCCGTGACTCGGAAGTTGAACCGTTGTGGTCACATGGCGTGGCAATCGGCGCTCTACCCATTCCTGTTATCAACCACCACCATCATGAACGCAAACGCGACTTTCGGTACCAGCGACACCACCAAAAACAACAAAATGAACGCTACTGGGTTGAATCCCGTGGGAAACGAACTTCTGCAAGTGATCGCGCTCGAGGTTGTCGCCGCATCTGGCGACACCTTTCCACCTTTGAAGGCGGCTGTCCTTGAGGCATTGGCCATCATCGGAATTGTGAAGGTGTGTATCCTTACTATAGCCATTCCGCCACGTCTATCTATCCAATGGCCACAGAAAATTAAGATCAATGAGAAGGATTGGGCTGCTTTTTCTGGAAGTCTCATTCAGAAGGTTGAGGAGATTGTTCTCGCTACCTGTCAATATAACAAGAGTCAGGTCCCATTGACTTGGCAATCCAATTTTGAGAATCTGAGATGGTGCGTGGTTTGGAGAGTGTTATTGTGAATGCCTCCTGGATTGAAGTCATGCACTAGCATTTTGGAGCATATGAAAGAAGATGTGACAAAGATCCAACAACAGAATTTGTACATGAGTATTGCCAATCTGGGAAAAGATACAGAACATATTGCCAGTTTTCAGGTTGAACTAAATGCACTTGTAAGCATCATGGCATTTCTTTCATATCAACTGTTCTAAATCATCTCATTCATTCAATCATGCAGCCCAACTTTCAGGCTTGTCTTGGGGTTGATGTTGAGGGAAGTTCACAAGAAGCAAGTAAGTCAAGGTGTAAATATTTAACTTGATACTCTTTCTGAAATTGTACAGATGCCAAGTGGAGAGAGATTTTGGGAGATGCAACACCTGAGTCCAATAAAGACCACAAGTCTAACAAGAGAAAGAATATGGGTGAAAGGCCTCCAGCTACAGGGGATGGTATGTATACACTTGCTTTTCAATACTATTTCAATCTAACTTGTTTATCTATTCAGTGGCTCAAGTAAATATGTTTCATCAGGCAAAAAATGTTCAATTTATTAATAGTGTTGTCACTGCTGCAAATACTGTGAGTATTCACTTATTCAAATGCCCTCCTCAATTAATTGTTGGGATACTGTAGATCAATAACAATAATGATGATGAACTTTGGACCAAGATAGAAGATGCTGCAGATCAATTAAATGTAAGTTATGATGGATGGGTAAAATTTGACATGAGCTTATATCATCAATAAACAATCTAGGTAGAAAAATGGCTTCAAGAGCTCAAAGCTCCATCACATGGCAAAGTAAAAGACAGATGCATGCCTGGAACTCGGGAGGATGTGCTCACTCTTATTAAAACATGGCTTGATGATCTGAATGAGCCTAATATTTTCTGGCTTTCTGGCAGTCCTGGCTCTGGAAAGACAACTATTGCTTCCACTGTGGTAGCTGATTTTGACTGTTTCTCTGGGCAATTCTTTTTCCATCGTGATGAGACTGAGCTTCGGGATCCAGACAATTTATGGAGACGCATTGCTTTGGACCTTTCTCTAGGATCCAATGATGTCAAAAAGTCTATAGCTCAGGCACTGGAGACTCAGAAGGCTAACATCAGAGGCCTTGATATCTCTATGCAATTTGAGCATCTTATTTCAAAGCCTTTACAGCAGGTTTTTGGGACCTCCATAAAGCCTCTTCTTATTGTTGTTGATGCCCTTGATGAGTGTGATTCATATGAGAAACTCTTGCCTTCATTGATATCTTGGTCTGGCTTTTCTAAATCTTTCAAGCTCCTTATTACAAGTCGCCGTTATAGTAATATTCAGACTTGTCTAGGCTCCATCAGTGTCCATGTTGATCTTCATACTGGACATGAGATATCTACACATACTTCTGATGACCTTGAAAAATACTTTATTGCAAGATTTACTGAGGTAACTAGGTTGCCTCCAAAGTGGCCTGGTCCAGCCAAAGTATCATTTCTTGTAAGAAAAGCTGCTGGGTTATTTATCTGGGCTAAATCTGCAATGGACTTTATCTTGCATAAGGGAGGTGATCCTGAAGAGAGGCTAGATATCATTTCTACTGATTCTGGAGAAGGAATTGATGTTGTTGACAGCTTGTACCATCAGGTCATTTCTGTTGCCTTGCAAGGTCTCAGAAAACCAGAGAAAACTAGCTTAAAATTAGTCCTAGGCTCCATAATCATTGCAAAGGACCCACTTCGCATCAAAGATCTAACAGAGCTTCTGGGAGTAAAAGATGGATTCCTAAATTCAATAATTGGCCAACTCAGCCCAATTTTATCCATCAGCAATACAAACTATCTGCATATTTGCCACCAGTCTGTGGTGGATTTTCTGCTTGATTCTGGGCGCTCTCAAGACTTGTGGGTTGATCATCAGTATTATAGTCTCTCCTTTGCTGGGTCTTGCTTGAAACTTATGAATGCAAAACTCAAGTTTAACTTCTTTGATCTAAAAACATCCTATATTTTGAACAAAGACATACCAGAGCTGAATGACCATATTGAAAGTGTGAAATCTACAGCCTTAGATCATGCAACCTACTTCTGGGCCAGCTATCTGCAGAAGGATTGTGATAAAATATTACAATTGGCAGTGCAGGCTGCAGTTGAGAAGTTTTTGATGGTACATCTTTTACACTGGCTAGAAATTATGAGTTTGATGGGAACAGTAAACCATGCTGCTCAGCTACTATTGTTAGCTGCACGTTGGAGCAAAGTGAGTACATAGATGTTTGATCTATCACTTTACTAATATGAAACACTATAGGCTATAAAACCCAGCCTATCAGACTTCGCAAAAGATGCAAATAGATTTGTTATGGAGTTTGTGGAACCAATAGCTAATGCAGTGCCACATATATATTTGTCAGCACTCCCATTTGCTCCACGAAATTCAAAAATCTCTATGCAGTTTCTGAAGCTATTTCAAAAGACATTGATTGTAAAGATGGGTCAAATGGAAGATTGGTCAGAGAAATGTTTGCTCAGACTTGCAGACCATGATGGTTGGATTACTTCAGTTACATTTTCTCCTGATGGCAGGCATATTGCCTCTGGGGCCAATGACAAGACTGTCAGAGTATGGGATGCTCAAACAGGTCAGACTGTCATGGACCCTCTCAAAGTAGATGGTGATTGGGTTACTTCAGTTGCATTTTCTCCTGATGGCAGGCATATCGCCTCTGGATCTATGACAAGACAATCAGAGTGTGGGATGCTCAAACAGGTCAGAGTGCCATGGATCCTCTCAAAGGACATAATGATGATGTTACTTCAGTTGCATTTTCTCCTGATGGCAGGCACATTGCCTCTGGATGCTATGACAAGACAGTCAGAGTGTGGGATGCTCAAACAGGCCAAATTGTTGTAGATCCTCTCAAAGGCCATGGTGTTTATGTTACTTCAGTTGCATGTTCTCCTGATGGCAGGCATATTGTCTCTGGGTCTGATGACAAGACAGTCAGAGTGTGGGATGCTCAAACAGGTCAAAGTGTCATGATCCTCTCTGAGGACATGGTGGCAATGTTACTTCAGTTGCATTTTCTCCTGATGGCAGGCATATTGCCTCTGGATCTGATGATGAGACAGTCAGAGTGTGGGATGCTCAAACAGGTCAAAGTGTCATGAGTCCTCTCAAAGGACATGATGATTGGGTTACTTCAGTTGCATTTTCTCCTGATGGCAGGCATATTGCTTCTGGATCTATGACAAGACAGTCAGAGTGTGGGATGTTCAAACAGGTCAAAGTGCCATGGATCCTCTCAAAGGCCATGATCATTATGTTACTTCAGTTGCATTTTCTCCTAATGGCAAGCACATTGCCTCTGGATGCTATGACAAGACAGTCAGAGTGTGGGATGCTCAAACAGGCCAAAGTGTTGTAGATCCTCTCAAAGGCCATGGTGTTTATGTTACTTCAGTTGCATTTTCTCCTGATAGCAGGCATATTGTCTCTGGGTCTGATGACAAGACAGTCAGAGTGTGGGATGCTCAGACAGGTCAAAGTGTCATGACTCCTTTTGAAGGACATGATGATTATGTTACTTCAGTTGCATTTTCTCCTGATGGCAGGCATATTGTCTCTGGATCTGATGACAAGACAGTCAGAGTGTGGGATGCTCAGACAGGTCAGAGTGTCATGGATCCTCTCAAAGGCCATGGTAGTTCAGTTACTTCAGTTGCATTTTCTCCTGATGGCAGGCATATTGTCTCTGGATCCTATGACAAGACAGTCAGAGTGTGGGATGTTCAAACAGGACAAAGTGCCATGGATCCTATCAAAGGCCATGATCATTATGTTACTTCAGTTGCATTTTCTCCTGATGGCAGGCACATTGCTTCTGGATGCTATGACAAGACAGTCAGAGTGTGGGATGCTCAAACAGGCCAAATTGTTGTAGATCCTCTCAAAGGCCATGATCTTTATGTTACTTCAGTTGCATGTTCTCCTGATGGCAGGCATATTATCTCTGGGTCTGATGACAAGACAGTCAGAGTGTGGGATGCTCAGACAGGTCAGAGTGTCATGGACCCTTTTGAAGGACATGATGATGGGTTACTTCAGTTACATTTTCTCCTGATGGCAGGCATGTTGTCTCTGGATCTGATGACAAGACAGTCAGAGTGTGGGATGCCCAGACAGGTCAGAGTGTCATGGATCCTCTCAAAGGACATGGTGATGGGGTTACTTCAGTTGCATTTTCTTCTGATGGCAGGCACATTGTCTCTGGATCTGGTGATGAGACAGTCAGAGTGTGGGATGCTCAGATCAGTTCAAGAATTACTGATCCTGTAACAGTGTCTTGTCTTTCCACTTGTCCTACTGCAAGCACTTCTGTTTCATTACCAGTCACACCCATACATTCTGAGGACAGGAACATTACCATGTCTGACTTCAATAAAACTTTTCTTTGTGATTCCTATAATAAACCATTGCTAGAATTCTGCCACCATGATGGTAATTGGATTATGCTGCCAGGTGGGGCCTATGTTCTACGGGTGCCAGACCGAAATAGATCTGGTTTGTTCTGGCCAAGAACAACTACTGTGATTGGTTGCACTCCAACTTCACTTCAGTTGGAAAACTTTGTTCATGGTGTAAACTGGAGCCAGTGTTTTTCATCATGCCATGATCCCATTCAAGGATCAATTGAACCTATTGATTCCATTGTCAAGTTCAACTGAACTTCACATCTTTTGTGTTATTCCATATATCCATGTGTTTCATCACCCACTTACTGTATGTAATCAGGAAGCTGGCCACCCTGGGAAGCTGGCCACTTATTTTCTGCAGCTTGTAGTGCACAAAATATCCAAAATTTTATATCATTGGAAAGTTTGAGATTAGGCCAATTGAGTGAAAATGTTTAAAAAATGAAAAGTGTCGATTTGAATACAAACTGGATGTGGCCAGCTTCCCAGTCAGGGCCGTGTTTATGGTCTTTTTACACCAAAAAAAACACTACTGAGTCAAATTTCAATTTAGAATTCCAAAATGTACATGGTAATTAAGAGGAGAAAAATGCCTAACAGAAAATGTCAAAAAAATGACACATAGTGCGAAACTCAGTCCTTAACTAGGACAATGAGTTAAGGTGGCCAGGATCCCGATAAGGCACAGTACACTAACTGGGCAAAAAGATTGTCCGATCATTTTTTGGACAAAGTTGGTGCTATAACATGAGAATCAAAGATTTTGAGAACTAAGCTCTAGTGTATAAAATATAGCTAAGGAAGTGTAGATTGTATATACCAAGTCTGGGGATGAACAATTGAAAACTCAGGATAAGGCAGGGAATTGACTGTGACAAGTGCCAAAAATGGGATGTAACAAAGTGGGAAATTCTGAATGACTGCAACCTACTGAAAGCAATTCACAACTTGAGGAAGAGATATTTTTAACACTGGATCTCCCTGCTATTGTTATGAGTTTCATGAAGTCTCTGGGCTAGAAAATTTTATATCCTCCTCTAAAAGGTAAATTTGAACTTATTCTCCATTTAATGTATTTTTCACTCAATATATTTGTTGGAATGAAGTAAAATGACTCCCTATTGTTGTTTGTAGTGTATATAATACAAAAGGTAGGTAGAAATGTTAAAATGAACATTGCATGATGTCTGTAGAAGCTAATTCCCAGAGTTTTTCTGGAAGTAAACAAGTATCTACAACATTGGTCCTTCTTTTCTGCAAGAAGAAAAATGCTACCATCCTTTTGAATTAATCCATGGAGACTCAGGATGTCTTTTAAACAATGCCTGAAGTATAGCATGATAGCAAATAAATTTACACTGGGTATAACTTGAAAAGTCCCCAACAAAAGTACATTTTGCATAGAGCAATCATCTTGGACCAATCCTTGACATTTTTCTTGGTGAATTGGGGCTGAAAATATTTCACAAGGCACTTCTCATGCCTAGTACACTATCCCAAAAAAATAAGCAGAAGTTCCATTTATACAAGGATCTGATACCCCACACTTTTCTTGCTCTATGCAAAATGTACTTTTGTTGGGGACTTTTCAAGTTATACCCAGTGTAAATTTATTTGCTATCATGCTATACTTCAGGCATTGTTTAAAAGACATCCTGAGTCTCCATGGATTAATTCAAAAGGATGGTAGCATTTTTCTTCTTGCAGAAAAGAAGGACCAATGTTGTAGATACTTGTTTACTTCCAGAAAAACTCTGGGAATTAGCTTCTACAGACATCATGCAATGTTCATTTTAACATTTCTACCTACCTTTTGTATTATATACACTACAAACAACAATAGGGAGTCATTTTACTTCATTCCAACAAATATATTGAGTGAAAAATACATTAAATGGAGAATAAGTTCAAATTTACCTTTTAGAGGAGGATATAAAATTTTCTAGCCCAGAGACTTTATGAAACTCATAACAATAGCAGGGAGATCCAGTGTTAAAAATATCTCTTCCTCAAGTTGTGAATTGCTTTCAGTAGGTTGCAGTCATTCAGAATTTCCCACTTTGTTACATCCCATTTTTGGCACTTGTCACAGTCAATTCCCTGCCTTATCCTGAGTTTTCAATTGTTCATCCCCAGACTTGGTATATACAATCTACACTTCCTTAGCTATATTTTATACACTAGAGCTTAGTTCTCAAAATCTTTGATTCTTGTGTTATAGCACCAACTTTGTCCAAAAAATGATCGGACAATCTTTTTGCCCAGTTAGTGTACTTTGTGTAACTTCTTTATTCATTTGTCCTATAAAATACAACTGGCTACCTCTATTTAACATGAAAAGTATTTAAAAACCAACTGGTAATGTCTCAGATCAGAGAAAATGTTTGACTTTAGTGGAGTATATGCTTTTTCAAAGTATCAATGTCCAAAAAATAAATATAGACATTGTAAGAATTTATCAATTTTACAAAGACTATGCTGTCTGTGCTGAACTAATTTTCCCAATTGAGAAATATTGCAGACTGATACAATTAGCCAAAGACACCAGATATAATCACTAGGTCACCAGCACAATCCATCATTTTCCTGGTACTTTCTGTACTGGGTTCTTATCTCTCACTGGATGCATACCACATTCATTTGGACCAGATTATAGTAAAGAAATATGGAGTTATATGCTGGCTGCTGGAAAGTTCAATGTTGGACTTTGTTGTATGTCAATGGACGACAATGTCTATCAACATACATTGGTGGACACTGATAGAGGTTGATGGACATTGAGATGTCACATGACAATGGAGATTAAAATATGATATGGCAATTTCCATTGTACTTGTTGTTGTGTTTCATTGGACTTCAACACTCTCACCATCGTGTCCAATGTTCTCCAATGAATTCCAATGGCCTTCACTGAATATCCTTGGCCCATGCTCACCCCTGATGATACGCGTTGCATGGGGATGACCGTGTAAGTGCGAAACACGCAAACAAGGATCAAGCGCATTGGGAAAACCCTAAACACCTAAACACTCACACACACACACTATCACAATCTCAGTGCACGAGTTTGAGGGCCTTTGGTATTGAGAAATACCACTTTTGTCTTCTTAGGTTAAGTCTCAAGAGATTTCATTCAAAATGGGTTTTTATTATAAAGTGTGGTTTAGAATAGTTCAATAGAACAAAGTATGTCTTTTCTGGGAACTTGGTCTCTTAAATGCAAAGTTCTTTGATCACAGTTTCTTTTATTAACACAAAACACAACTTCAATTGACTTTTATGACTCCCGTGAGTTTTTATTATGTCACTATGCTCCAAAACTAAGGGTACAAGTACGCTGTCTTGTCTAAATGATACTGTGTTCTTAAAACCTCTTATTCAAAAGTCTCCAAGTAAGTTGACTCCCAAGCATGCTGGCTTCGTTCACACTGTACTTTTCTGACCACGAAGAAATCTCCTTTAATTGATTACAACTGTCCACCTCCTAAGTTCCTACTTGGAGTGCAACTAGCTGGTCAACAGGGGGGCGATTGCTTGCCTTTTGACCTGCCAGCATGCTCTTATATACTCCAGGAACCCCTATCTACGTTTTACATGTGTTTTAATGCAGGATACTTCGGTCCAAATTACAAATATGAATTTTAAAGAACGTGTGGTATATTTTGTAGTCTATCTCTGTGAACACTACAGATTTTGCAGTGTCATGTCTTTCATTTTCAAACACATCAGTGTTTGATGTGTACATGGAGTTAGCCGATGTAGCTATTCTTAGCTTGGCATGATCTCGTGTGTTTCTTTTCTATGGCCCGGTTACCGGTTTGACAGATGGCATCATATAATGATTAATGTTTCCTGATGTGTTGATGCGCATGCGTATGCATTTACCAATAGTCTTTGGTCTCCCGTTGTTTCCGAGTTTTTAATTACAATGCCTTGTCTTGGCTTGTCTTTTCATTACGGAAGTCAGGAGACACTCCGTAGGTGCTTTCAAATGTCTTTCTTAATTGTCAGGGGGTTCTTATTATATTTCATATAATAGAATGTGTCTTTTCCCCATGTTTGTACTTGTGACATTCAGACGCATCAGTCTTTGATGCGTACACAGGAATCACCGTACATGTCTTTCTGAATGGCCGTGAGCCATGCTAAGTCTTCGTACATTTATTACTTAGGCATAGTTTAGTCTTTCAATATTTCAGACATGCCGTTTAAGCGTCTATGTCGTCTTTTCTGTATTTCTTCTATAAGCACGAGTTTCCACAATAAATCCATTATGTGTTTCTAAACCCTTTGGTAGTAATGCAATTCTTCTCCCTGCCTTGGGTGTTTACTCTAGAACCTCTTTGTGCTCTATTTCATGGTAGGTGAATCTTAGATAGGATCCAAGTATAATGTCACGACACGTACTGCTGCCAGTTCCAAAGCCTTTGTCCTATTTTCAGATTCCATGCATTTGCACTTTTAGTCAACTGAGCCGGGTATGCGCATTGACTCTTTGTATCATTGCAATTGTACGTAGTGTATTTATTAGAGATGACCTTTATTGGTAAAATCGTTAAAATTGAATTTTATATGGGTGACATGGTTTCATCCGTATCACCAATATGGTCCAATAAATTTCAAATCCCACTCTCCAGGTGAAATACTCGTTGCATGCCCTTGATCAATCTTTGTGCACCCCTCTTCACCCCACCAAACACCCAGTTATGTCTGCACTAATGGGACCTATCAATAACCATTGTAAGAAATTGGACTTGGAGGCAATTGCTCTTGTGCTCAAAATTGACTCTACTGGGACCATGAAAGTCTTGATTCCCCACATCATTGCACATCTTGATAAGCATCCTGAACTGGCCAAACATGTCAAGTTTTAAGGATTGTTTTCTTACCACCCAGATTCCACCCCTGTAGAGAAGAAAACAGAGGAGTTCTGATAAGGCAGCAGAGGATGAGATTGAGGTGAAGGTAGCAGTTGGGAAGCCAACAGGGTATGTCACTGCTTTTGTCACCAAATTGATTTGATACAAAATTTCTCTGCATTTAGAGCTAACAAAACTTTATTGGACCTGAAAGTCACAACTGATCCTCCTCCACAATTTGGAAGACTTGGCACCACTGGGACCACTGTTCATGGGGGACCTGTTACTCCTGGTATGTGTCATTATGGCTTGTATTCATGTTCTTTCAAGCTAATCTCCCATGAAGATTGTGACATGGGCGATGACTCATCTCCTGCTAGTCTTCCAGACTTGGATAACAGCAGTGATTCTGATCACATTGCAGTTCCTTCTGAGAAAGAGATGGAAGTTACAGTTGCGACAAGCCTCAGTGAAGCCCTCAAACATTTGAAGGACACAGATATCAGCAGTGGTGTAAAGCCTAACACAATGGTTCCACATAAGTGATACTTGTGCATATATAGATATGGACTGACAGTGGTTCTCTGTAGTTGTTGTCAATTTCTTTGACCACATGGACCCCACTAAACCAGCAGAAGAAATTTGGTTGGAAGATGGCTTTACAGCCATGTTGAGCAAAGGACAGATGACCACTTTGCTCTCACTGCTTCTACCAAATGTTATCCAAAATGCTTCTCTGATTAAAGGTGTGCCCATTTCACTTTCTATGGTTTCTATACTAAAGGAATGTACATTTTAGAATGTGGTGGCTGCCTTTACAGGCCAGGTCAAGCTGCCAACTCCAGCCATATCACCATTGGTGTAGTTAATGCTTTCACATTGGGAGAAATTCTGTGACAGCTTTCTATCACCCGCATTGATGAGTATGTCCTCAGGTCCCTGGATAGTGGTGAATATGCTTGCACTATCTTTTGGGAGCAACTGTCAGTTCACCAATTTTCTCTCTTGCTTAAGAATAGTTACTTACCAGCTTTAGCCTGCTGTACCTGTCACACAAGCTGAACTATTGGCTGTGAAAGCCAAACCACTAGAGGTTGCTTGCAATATGAAGGAGACAAAGGCTTGCATCAAGAATAACATCATTGCATCTCCTCCTGTCAATGACAAGTTCATAGCCTACCTCTGTGAGAACTATGTTCATGACTGTAGTGAAATTTGCAAAGGGCATCTCTGAGTGAGCCATCCATTTTGCTAACAACTGGTATGGTTCTGTAAAGTTGTCATTACTCTGCCTAATCAAAGAGATTAGGTCTTTTATGTGCAGACAGGGTTGTTCCATACTTCTTTTGCTTGCATTTACGTTTGCAGGTGACAGTTTGGTTCAATGTCAATTCTAATGTACTGTCATCATCGACCTTGGAGCTGGAGTGAATAGAGGGCACTTTCTTCTTTTTCTGCATTACAGCAGAAGGTTGGGAAGGACAGAGAGAGGTATAGTGATGGGGGAGGAGGTGGGAGGAGGAAGCAAGGAGGAAAAGCATGTCAAAAGCGTGTCAAATCAATTGATCACAAGCCTGTGACCTGTGCTATGCATGGCCTTGTATGTTATTCTTTGTGAATGTTTTATACTTGAAGTATACTCTTCAGAACTTGAAAGCCCCAATGACATGCCACCCTTTGGGTGGCATGTCGTTGGTACATAGACACATAGATCAACATGTGCTGGCTCCAGTCAATACTTTCCATTCCTCCACTGATTCCTACCGGAATCCTGGAATTCCGGCTGGAATTAACAGGAATCCAACTGGAATCAACAGAAATTGAACACTAGGACTTCTGGTTAATTAATTTTGGACCCTGAATCTCCTTCTTTAGGTCAGACAAATAGAATTGTAGCACTAAATCTTTTACTAAACAAGGGCATAAGGCATATGACTAGTTACTTACTACTACATGGATTTATTTATTTCAATCAGATTCAGAGACATTAGATTCTGCATGTTGTTCATCCAAACCCAAGTCTTCATCATTACCATTAATCTCCTGAGACTTTGCTTTGCGTTTCCTGTACTTAACTCTCCCCCATGTATTCCCACCGGATTCCCACTGTAGTCCGGGTAAAGTCTGGCATTCTGGCTGCAGTCCTGGGGGAATATGGTAGGACTGCTTTTCTACTCTATTCCCATTTCATTCCAGTGGGAATCTAGTAGGAATTCCAACTCAATTTAGACATCATGTGACTTATTCTGAAAGTCATGTGACTTCATGCCTATCATATTTATTGTAAGTCTAATGTAGTCAGCCAATTTATTATTATATCTTGTCCTATAATAACCTCACAAGTTTCTTCTTAGAACAGTTATATAGATTCAAATTCTAATATATTGAAGTGGTACACAAAGATTATTTTACTGTATTCTAAGTTAAAGGAAGGGGGGGAGGAGGGGGGCAGAAATAAATGGGGGTGGAGGAAGGAAGGGATGGGCAGGGAAGGGGGAGGGAAAAGGTAGGAGGAAGGGTGTAGGGACAGGGAAAAGGAAGGGGGAAGGGTGTAGGGACAGGGAAAAGGAAGG